GACCACCACCAACTAACTCTTTTCCAACCTATCCCCATGTCAATCGGCTGACACTGCCAGTCGAGGAAGGCGATGGATAGACAGGCATGCGTAACACATGTCTTAACCACCTCAATCGATGTAACATCACAGCCTCACTTATTGGTTTCCCCTCTTCAACTAACACTAGACGCCTAACCTCAATATTACTCATCCTATTATACCACCTCACACGAGAGATAGGACGTAGACCCCTATGATCAAAGACAACTAGCCAGGCTTTTCATGTCTTCCACTCTCAATGGTCAGGTCTCACAGCCAGTTATAAAGGAGGACGGAGCGAACTGCCGCTGAGCAGTACACACGCCATTTGGTCAACAGCCAGTCGGATATCACGTCTACGCTAGAGACAGCGTAAACGGGCATATGTCAAACGAGCTTTCTGGATCCGTGCTGAGTTTCGTCAGCGATCAATCCACTGGCACTGACTGATGCAACTCCCCAAATAAGTGAAGTAGTCAGTGCGCTGTACCACTCCACTCCCTATCTTCAACCGAGGAGACAATGTGGTTCAGTTTTGTTGCATCATCTTACATTTGGCAGGAGCAAATCGTATGCCCAACATCCGAAGATTGTTTCCTGTCAAGGTGTTCAGAAGACTCTGCTCTATTTTGTCAGCGTCCTCAACTAGGAGGACTATATCATCTGAATATTCTAAGTCAACGAGATTATTCTCTGATGGCGACAAATCAATCCCTGAGTTGCTGAAGTCAGTTAGGGTTAATTCCATTGGTATATCCATGATGAAGGACAGTGTATGAACTGATAATATTACCTACTGGTGCGAGCTGAAATAGCTAGGCAGGTCTCGAACCCGTAGCCCACCCACCCACCAGCTGAAAACCGAGTGCCAATAAACCATGGAAAACCAAAAACAAAACAATTGCTAGCACAATAGTGGATAAACTTAAGCGCTCTTGTTTAACCAAAACAAAAACCTTACGAAGAGGAATATAAAGGTGAATTGAAAAAGTGTTAAAAAAAGAAATGATGAATACAGTGTCATGATTACGATCCATTTCGGGTCACATCAAACATCAACTTCAATAACTTGTTGCGTGTAAGCCAAAGAAAGTCTACACACTTTCATAGAGTTCACAGATTTATCTTATATCCTGAATCAATCAGATTACCTCAGCTAGTACAATATGCCACAGATTGATTAGAAAACCAAATACCACAAAGACTGCCAACTGATCAGCTGATTATTTCTCGTTTGTAAAAAAAAGACTCTGTTAGCCACCCTAACCCCCCCCCTCAAGAAAAAACTGCTCAAATGACCAGTGCAATGAGTACACTCCTCAAAAAATATGCATATATATACACAGAGAAGGTTAAAACGAAATGAACAGTAATGAGTATAGAACTGAAAAATAATTTAACATTATATCTGACCACTACTTCAAGGTTATCTATTACGATGAAAAGTAATATGCCTGTCAAAGAAACAGCCGACATATTAAAATGAAACCGCTAAGATTAAAAACTGAACGATGTGAACTTTCTTAGAGTAGAAAATTGTACATCAAGATTACTAGAAATAGCTATTTTACTTTTTACTATAATTATTATAATAGATAAGACGATACTTTTATTGTGTATTAGGTCAGTGTATTTGATTCAATAAACACTGGCAGTAAAATATATGTAGTTCTAAACCGCTTCCGTTCCTTTTCTTTTTTAAAAAATTATGATTGTTAGTTATTATTTGTTTGTTGTTTTATCAAAGATAAGATTTTAAGTGAACATAGAGAAGACAGAGGTGATGAAAATAACCAATAACAACAAGCACCAGCCACTATCACGGAAGGAGTATGAAAGAGGTTACCACTTACACCTATTTAGGCAGCAGCAACTACAGGTACGCCCACGGATGAGGATGTCAAAGGCAGAATTGGAAAGGCAACACAGACCTTCATCACTTGAAAATCAGACTGGAAATCTTCTGTACTCAGCGTTAACAACAAATTTCGGATTTTCAACACCAATGTCAGTCAATCAATTCTTCTATATGACTCAGAAACTTGGCCAGCATATCACGAAAACCATTTCCAACAAACAGCTGTAGAACCTAATCCCTGACAAATATACAAAAGGAAATGGAGGTGGATTGGACATAATTTGAGGAGACTGTTTGTGACATAACACGCCGCTCAAGTGGAACCCGAATGGGTAACGACAGGTTGGGTGTCCGAGGGTGACATGGAAGAGATCGTGTGAGGAGGAGATGAAAGCTTATATGGGCAATCATGGGACTAGCTAAATATAACTGCAGAGAATAGGACAAAACGAAGATGTGCTGTTGTAGTCCTATGTTCCACCCGGAAACCAAGGGAATAATAATAGCTACTATTGTTTGATTTACTATGAGTGAGGAAGAAACTGAATATTGAGCAACTGAAATCAACAAATAATACTACAGTTCCATACCCAAGAAGTAGTGATTGGAATTCAACAGTTTTTATAGGACAAATCTCTAATGTTTCAAGTTGTACATTTCGACTCAAGTATTGCAGATATTGCCTTGCTACTGACAGTGCAGAAGCACCTATACGTGTATTGGAAAGTTTGGCGAGGTAGGACTGAATTAAGGACTTCATTATTTGCAGTTAACGAGTTCCAACTCTTAGTTACCTCCTCCAAAAACTGGGTTGTAATCGACTGACTGATTGAGTTTCAACACAGAAGTGCGGCACTCGTACAAAGGTAAAGGGAAGAGTAAACTTAAAGGAACTATAGTGAAAATACATGTACCGAATAAAGAACAGTAAAATGGATGAACATGAGAATTTAATGGATCTGCGAGATTACAAAGAGTAAACACATTTGCACCATTGTGAATATTTTGAATACGTACCACCAACAGTCTCTAGGTAGAGTTTTATACAATCCTAAGGATCCCAATCAGGCAGTTTACTATGTCCCTACGTGACCCAAACCAACTGTCAAAAACTTCAAGGATTGATACCGCCCCTAACTGCAACCTGATTCTACGTCGGTTGTCATTGCTCATCCAGGAAATCAGTGACTCAGCACGCGTAACATGTACCCTAGCCATCTCAACTGATGTAGGTTTTCACAACCCTATAGATTGCCTTCCTTCCCTTAACTAAAAATCTACGCCTAACTACATTATTACTGACAATGTTTTACCACTTAACAATGGAGATAGTAAAATAAGCTACCGAACACCAGTTATTAACTCTATTTTATCTAGTAAAATTCAAACGTGACTGAGGAGGCTATTGCATTGGAATAAGTCTTTGAAAAGCCTCCAGTAGTAGCGCTAAAAATATGTGAGAAGAAGAATATGTACTAACTCAAAAGCTAAGCTTTTAAGTCTTTCCTTTCTACAACGCGAAAAAAAGAGCCGAGAACTTCAGTCATTCATGAGCAAATACTTTACAACGCTTACATCCCAAGGCAGTAATGTGGCAATTACTATTGATAAGATTTATCAGTAGTATATAAAGAGACATCCATCGGCATAAAAATATCAAATAGCAGGGAAATACATTTGATGTTTTTATGTCCATGGACGTATCTTTATATACTACTGATAAATCTTATCAGTAGCACTCGCCACAGTACGATTTCAGGTGTTAACCTCAGAGTAAATGTTTTGAAACTAACTTCTCCTGCATGGAAGAAACCAAACAAGCAGACAGTTTGACCCATGTAAGTGAAATATGTACTTACGACAAGCATGACTGATTACCACAAGGTAACGAATACTACCAAAGACAAAATGTCATGATTAAATGGATGTTAATACCAACTCATAAACAAAAAGGAGTTCAATAGGCAGAAAACATTGTCAGTAGAAATACAGTTCTCATGATGTGTATATAATGATAAGAGTATGTCATTAACAGCACAAGAAGACCTAGTTGACTATCAGGGGCACCTTTTAGAACTAATAAACACCTTCCATAATAACACTAGCCAAAATTTACAACCACATAGCTCTTATTCTTAACGGTAACTAAAATATTCACCTACAAAACAAACAGAACGTTTTGAAAGCATTAGGATATCAATAGTTCAAAATGATTATTAAGTCACACGATCAGGCTAGAAGTACATAACTTCTTACAAGATGTCTAGTCATGTATCTATAAACCAATGTTTATTAAAAATTAACCCAAATGATTGCTTTTTAAGAGTGACACAATTTCAGTCTAAAAATACTTAGGACTGAATTGGGTACTTTGGGTTATTGATATCAGACTTTGATTTACTTTCTACTACTCAAACTAAGATGGAGGAGGATTTTCGTAATTTAAAACTTATCAATGAAAAGTAGGGGGTTTACACTACTGTAATAAATGATATTTCACTGTATAAGTTGTCTAAAAGAAAATACCACCAAAAACGTTTCAGTGAAATTATCCACCCTAGAAATAAAACTTATTTCTGCATGTTACTCTTTGGTTCAGACATAATTTTCTTTAAATCTTTGAAAAGTAAAATAACTTTAAATCTGACCACGGGTTAACATCAGTTGGAGAACCACCGAAAAGCAGGGAGTTCTGGACAGCTGTTTCGTCCTAGTTTGCGACTCATCGGCAGTACACGCCCATCGGGGTTCGAACCCAGGAGTTTTCAGTTAGAAGGAAAAAACTCATAGACCATTCACCCACTGGGACCTGACTCAATGGTCCATGAATTCTAACTTCTACCAATTCATGATTTTAGCGCGACCATGGACCATTGAGTCGAGTCCCAGCGGCTGAATGGTCTGCGAGTTTGCCTTGTAACCGGAAGGTTCTAGGTTCGAACCACTGTGGGTGTGTACCACCGATGAGTCTTTGCAGACTTTGTCTAACCTAAATACCTAATTGACTGGTCCATAAAATGAAGTGACCAAGATATGTATATATAACACTGACCACTTGATAAACAAAGATGCATTTCTAACAAAAATTAGGTATGATAAAAGTTATGAAATGTTTTTTTACCGGATTTCAACTCCTCTGAAGAACTCTTCTGATAACAATCATGTGAATTAGAATTCATTGGTATATAAATCCCGTTTGTAGTATCACCAGTAATCATATTGTTATTGTTACTAATGGAGGATGTAACACCATATACTGAAATATTGTCTTGATCATTGGCTTGTAAATTTCCTGAGATAAGACAATCGCCAGATGGTGTACAATCCGACAGTAGTTCAGAAAGTAATGCACCTGGTTGTGTATCCAGACTATTTGAGAATGGATTAAAGGGTCGATCGACAGTTGACGACACAGAAATTCCACTCAAAGATGAGTCTACAGCTGTTTGATTAAACATATTTGAATGATTAAAACTGATAAGAATGAATTTGCCAGAAATTCTTATAACGCCAATTCATTGACCCTATTTAAAAGATAAAAAAACCAATTCATATAAAGAAATATAAAACACGATTAGCTATAATTACTTGCTACGTGAAAAAAATAATAGAAATTGAAAAATAGACGTCCATCAGATAAATGACGTTCCTATAAATTGAGTGAGAGAATTATTAGACTGAGTGACGTATTACAATGAAACATCAACACAATAACGAAAGTATCTAGTGTATCTCAGTTAACAACTTAACTACCCATTCGCAGATATCTTTGATGTATGCATCTTATATATCATCCATCAAAACACTGGTCTCTAAAGTATAATGGGAACTAGATTCATTAATACAGTTGCGAAGTCTCACACAACTTGTTTGTACGAACTCTACAGATAAAAAGACCAAGGTATTCGCGAATACTTTTAACAATTATACTTAAGTAACGGTACAAGTTATCAAACTTGAATATTAGCATAAAACTCTAGTCGAACAGCAGGTATGTGTGGCTAACGGTTGGAGTTTACAACGTTGTTGTTTTGATACAAACTTGAAAGGATGTATGTATCCATTGTCAGCAACCCTACGGATGCAACATAATAGCAAAGAATGTCTTCAATAGTACGGTCAACCATAAATCAATGCTTTTTCATCAGTTGTCTATCACTAATATTATAATGTAATGTTTGACAAGAACTAGCTAGATTCAAAAAAAGACTCCTCCATATATATTTTTCCGAAGGATTTATTACCATGATATCTTGGCTAGAGTTTGTTTACACTTCATGAAACTTAAACAAAATGCAAATGAGAAGTTGGTACACTTTATATGACAATCGTGTGAAGCACCTGGAAATGGAAATACAGGGTACAGTAAAAATACCAGCTTGTAATCGATTTCAACACTGTAATTTCCTGCCAACCTGGTAACTACGATTTTAATGTGACTAATCTAATCACAAACTCAATGACACATTTGCACCAAAGTAAGAAAATTGTTCGGAATATGCATGTAAGAAATGTATATACTACTTAGGACAGTTCCTTAGGACAATATCACAGGCGCTCTTGTACCTCAGAATTATACCATACCAAGTACCATAGCATAAAATAAGTAAGCCCTTTCTCAAAAGGTAATAGCAGTTTTTAATAGAAAGCACTGAGTACTCAATTTGGACGTTTTGATAAGTACCACACTAACAATACATGTAAGTTAACCTAATTTTGAAAACACAACTAAAGGTGGAAATCTAGGTGTTTAAGTACTTAAAATTTCTTTTGAAACCTGGTCGTTTTAGGTATACGACATTCCAATCAGTTGTAGAAGCTGACATTTTGGTGTGCTACTCAAATTTGGCCTAGTTTTGAGTTGCTACAGAAGTCAAAGGGAATTCTGAGGAGTCTAATTACACAAAGCTTTTCAAGAAGTTTTAGATTTTTCGAAAAAAGGAAAGACAGCTCACTAGGACCGCTTTGTTGACCATATATTGATTCATTAAGAAGTCGCAGAATTATGGCTATCTAGAGAGAATAACAATGTAAACCCACAAATCTACTTAGACATAAAATAAAACTTCATAAGAACACCAAAATAACTGTGAATCAACAAAACCACAAGTTACGATTTAAACACTACTACTAATTTACTGACTTTTCAAGTCAAAAAGACAACGGTTATAGCTAGTATGCTTAAAATCTAATTACTAGAATGGCACCAAGATTTAACCTCATTGTTGGAAAACTGTCTCTCTTTATACCACAATATGCTCCAGTTATCATTTGGTGACCTGATGATAGATACTGAAAACACCTAGCCCTGGGAAAACACTAATGTAATACAACATAGCTCATCCGTAACCCTTCATCATCAATAAGAACTACACGTTATTCAGTCTTCAAAATTTCTGAGGGTCCCTACATTCCTAAACTCTTATTTGGTTCATCTATTTATATTTACGTTCAAATTCCGCCATTACAATATCAATATATTGTTTATTAGTGCTTTGGTGAGATAAGATAAAACAACCTTGTTGGTTCATTTATATGCTTAAGAAACTTGTTTTCACCGAATTACCCCAAACTACTGTACTCTATAATTAGACAGTGGCGGTTTCGAAGGTTTGAGCCATGTTTGTCTGATAGATTTTGTTCAATAGAACAATAATCTTGTAGTCCTTCAAAACTCTGCCATCAATATAATTATATTTGGAGACATTTGATTTAGTCTTGGATTTGGTCAGTCGCAATTGGGACCGTTTGGCTTATTTTGAATTCGCTTGAGTCCTTTCAGAACAATTTGGTTTTATTCCTGTTTGGGTGAAGAATACAAGTCTGTATATTCAAGGGATATTCGTGCGGCGCTTGTAACAATGCAGTCATCCGCGATGATATGAATACATTATAGAAACCTCAAAACGTAAAATAACACCGCCAATGAACTCTGGTCACTTGAAAATTACGTTGACAATAATGTGTTTAAAGAATTGAGGGCAGAAGGTAGAAGCGTTAGGCATAAACAGGCTTGATAAACTTTCCTCACTAGTTTTCTCCACCGATTAGCCTACCGGCTCTTGGCTCCGGTAATGCGACACTCATTTGAATTTTCCAGATTATACATATCTCTATAAAACGTAGCAACCAGCAAATCCAAAATCCTGTTTATGGACAACTTATTTCCAAATTAGTAACTTCAAAATTAATGATTAACTATCAACACTTTATTCACATTTCAAACAAGTACAGAGAAAGAGAAACTCATGAGCATTGAAAATGCAATACCTCATGAAATATCTACAGTATGCACGTGGAAAGAACTTTCCATTCCTACGCAAACGAGTAATTCATACAATCTAAAAATTTCACAGTGTTGTGACATCATAAGAGCAGAAACAGAAAAATATTTAATTGATAAGACCTTCGAAATCTCCATGACTGCAGCATTCATATTCGGAAACCTAGTCAAAAGGCGAATTCTACCTACAGAACTCAAATATCCACAAGTCCTTTACATCAACACTTTGCTGAGCAGAAAGGTTTCGTGGTTAAAAGTCTCAGTATTAGATATTTTGGAAAGGTCTCAAGGGGTAAAAGCAGTAGTGTTGTTTCTCGGTGTCCCATGCAGGTTTCGTATAAGCCAATTTAGGTGGAACCGGAACTTCCGTTCATAGACTTGTTCTCTGGATGAGTCTTATTATCTTTAAATGGCAATGGTCGTTCAAAACAATTCAGTAAACGCTTGTATGAGTCGTGTGTGTCCCTTTTACAGTACCCCCACTTGTTAGCCTATTAATATTTATCAAATCTTATCTGCCTGAATTAAAGATTGCAGCAGGGATGAATAGACGTTGAAAAATAAGTATAAGCTTGTACTAGTGTGACCTTCTATGGGAGTCAGTAGTTTCAAGAGCTTTTGGTTTCTATTAAATCGTTGCATACTTCACGAGTGTGTCATATAGGGCTTAACATAATTACTTACCCCGTGAACATATTAAAATTAGGATTACCAGTATCCGCGGCAAATGCAGCTAAACTGTTAAAATTACTCACCGAAAACTAAGGTCTTCGTCTGCACAATGAGTGGCTATTAGCCATTATCTTGTGGATTTCTTAGGAGACAATGACGATAAATTATAATCACAGCAGTAATAAGTACATTTTTTCAGACCCGTAACGACCCAGATTAAAAACCCGCCGACTTTACAGATACTGGTACAATTCCCAATCCAGACTTTCCCACATTTCCTGCAGTTACAGAAGACTTAGTGCTTGTGTTGTGTCCTCTTATAAACTACCTCTGATCTTATATTACCCTATCTAATCATTAACCCAAATAACTAGACAATCAGCTACAACTTTAATCACTCGGTGGAAGAATCAATGCTCCATGGTTAGTGGTATCCACTTTCGAGCTGCAGGAAAGATATTTGGTTGAAGATAGGAATGCAGCTTGCATGATTTTCTCTGGGCTTTCATATAAGTTAGTGTGCATTCTACTACCAAGATTGGTGACATCAACACTAACTTCATTGAAAGTGGGACATATTTACTAGTTACACTCGTATTTAGGCAGTCTCATATTTACTATTATTTTTCCCTTGCGGTGCGAGTGGAACATAGGGCCCCAACAACACATCTCCACTTTCTTCTATTTTCTACCGTCATCTTCAGCTGAGTCCACAATTGCCCATAATCTCTCATCTTCTATTTGGACGATCTCCTCCAAGTCACCCTCAGAAGACCCATCCGTCGCTTCTCATTCGGATTCCACTCGAGCAATGGCCTGCACTGCGTGTGATGTCATCCGACGGCCTCTTCAATGTATGCCCGATCTACCTCCATTTTCTCCCACATATTTGTTGAGCGATCGGCTCTTGGTTGGTTTGTTGCCAGAGTTTCTTGTTACTTATTCTTTTCGACCATTTCATCTTCGGTATGGAGCGAAAGCAGCAGTTGATAAAAATCTGCCACCTGTTGGAAATCCTCTCCAATCTTACTTGCTTCGTTCGGAATTTTCTGTTTTTAGAGGAAGGGGGTAGATTTTTTCGCATAAAATTTATGGGGCCAAACGGACTTTAATGCTCATCATAGTGTTGCAGTGGTTGGGCAGTAAATTGGTAGCTGCCTCAACATTACGCAGTGCCGCAAACACTTATAAACACCACTCGAGAACTATATAATCATGCCACATACCAGGTAATTCGCAAAGTTAGTTTCACCGGAGCGTTCGAAATGAAGGTAAGAGTAATACAAAGCTGCCTACTACCGCCAATGATCTTCCTGCGGACTGGATCATCTTACAGACCACGGGAAGTGAGAGGATGGACATGAATTAGACTGAGGAAAAAGTCCTAGAAGACCTGGATTTCGTATAAGATTTATATCTCATGTGGCGTAAACTCAAGGATATGCAAGATCAAACAAATAAGTCGGTAAAAGGGGCAGGGAAGATTGGACTTCAGGTGAACATAGAGAATACAAGACAACAAACACCAATAACCATCAGTGAGATGAATCTGAATGAAGCCACCTCTTCACCCGCTTTACCGGACAGCATCGATTCAATTACAGCCGGAACAGATGAGGAAGTCAAAGCCAGCCAGGATCGGGGATGCAAGGTATTGCCGCAAAAGCAGTGTGAAGATCTACAGCACTTGGCAGGAGGGAAAGTTCTGAATTTTTAATAAGAACGTCATGCCAGCACTTCTATTTGGCTCAGATATTTGATTTATGAGTCGTGGAAAGCGTTTCCAACAGCCTGTTGCGGTGATTTACTTCTAGTAGGATAGCCACTGTCCCAATTCGCTGAGTGATAACCCAATCTGCATTGCTATGGCAGTACAAGCGTTCATAAATCACCACACAAAGGTTGGTTTATCCCTATGAAAGCGCACACTATCACTCGCCCAGTCGAAAGCTCAACATATGGGAGTTGTAAGGTCTGAAGTTGAGAGTTAATTTTGTGATATCATGGTTGGGTGTTTTGGAAATTACTCCACCACAAGATGTACCATCTGGTACTACGCACTGACTACAACACTCCAAGAAACACGAATCGGTCAACCACTTCATTGTAGGGACTTTACACTTATTATGGGACGCAAACACCCGAACAGACGTTGGAGTTTTGTGGTGAGAGGCGCACCCATGCGTATATTTACCAAGTGTCTGCTTACGCTTGAGATCGATTTTCCGATGCGCTTATACGCTACAGGCTCGCTAATACGGTGGTACTGCACAACCTTTTATCGACAAAGGCGTCTACTTTTATTTCTCTTGCACTGGCTATGATGTTAATTGAGCAAGGTCTCAGGTACACTTCCAATCATGCTTGGCTTTTTTCTTAGTAGTTAGAATCATGTGTCTATTCGTATCTCTATTCGTCTCGTACTAATATCTTGCTGTCTGCAAGAGGCCTAACAGCTGCATTTGACGAAAAACTCATCTTGAATCAGAGAGGCTTTCGGTTATATAATTGTTAAGAGATACCGATGAATAATGTCTATACTTCGTAATAGCTCGTTTTTATTTGACAGCACAACAGATGCTTCTGTGTTAAATTACTTTTGATATCATTGGGACATAAAAGTTGACTCTATGTAACTTGGGGAGGTCTTGTACACCACGCAGGAGAATTCAGTGGCTTGATCGAATTGAACTTGGTTTCTTCGCAACCTTTCTTACACTCCGAATGAGACACTAAACCCTAATCGTTGAAGTGAATGCTTGGTTTTTTGGTGTAGTATCTTAGATTTGTATTACGTTTGCTACGCTTCCTACCTATCGTTTGTGAAGTCTGTTTGGTTTCATTTCTGCAAGGATATTAACATCGTTTATTTTTACTAATGCTGTTGGAAGTTTTAACGAGAGATTTTCTTTGCTAATGACGAATGGATACTTCAGCTGATGTTGTCATGTGCAATATATCGTTGATGTCAGTGAACTTTTGACTTCCATGTTGAAAATATTGGGAAATGTTTTATGACTGTTATACCCAACGCAGGAAATTGGCGTCGGTTCACACCATGTTAGCAGACAATGTGTAGAACAAATTTTAGTTTATTAGCTTTAACGCTGTTGATGTTGGTGAAGTTTGAATGAGCGATAATTGATTGGACACTAGTACTAAGTGTGGTGTGTTTAGTCCTTTCTTTGGTGCAGACTGAATTCAATCAGTCAGGTCTGCAACGTGACCACCATTCTTGGTAGCTCGCCACATTGCAAACATGACTAATGGAACCTCAGATGGCACATGACTCTCTTCAAGCTTGAAGATACGCCTTGCTGACTGGTGAGTGCCAACTAGCACGAAACCCGGCTCCAAGGCTTCCTGACGATTGCCTCCAACCATCTGATATTATCAAATCAATGAGCGATAGTTGGTTTCTTTACTGGACCATATCCGCTTTTTCGAGACAGGCAACGATGGTGGTCGTAGTCTAGCTGTTTGCAGCTTGACAAAAGACTACAACAAAACGATCAGAATTATTGTTGTGAGTTAAATGGATGTTTATTCATAGACTTCGTGCCGTAGTAACCCTACAGCGCTGGTTTATTGCCATTGGGAAAATTAACAACCGTTGAACTGCCAGTCCATCTTCTGATATTCCTGAGTCAATTACTGCACATAGTACCCTGAGTTGCAGGGATTAGTCTTTTGGCAGCAGCGCGAGCTTCAAGTTCTTTAAGCTGATGGCCTCTAAAGCTGGCACCTTTACAGTCCCTTTTCCTGTGTAGTACTTAACGAATGTATTTCGCAACGTTGGGACTAATTTCATGCCTATAGTTTTTTAGCCTGCTGCTTTTCTTTTGACATGAGGTAAAAGCCAAACAGCTCAGCAGGGATAAAAATCTTATAAATGAGGCTTTTCATAGTTTCTGTCCTCGAAAAATTTAATGATGGGTTATTCCTAAAAGTGCTTCATCTGCTATCTGGGTTGATTTTGACATACCTCTCGCGTTATTATTCATACCTTCGAAAGCCAACACGGCGTCAACCTATCATAACCAGTCTCTCGTCTTTAAAAAAATGTAAAAACTAACGTATATTACGTAGTGGTTTTTAAAATGTGACCTGCCAAATCTTCTCTGTAAAGGTAGAAGAGTCACTTCCAATATAACCAAAGTGCTGCATTGTCGTATTGCTCGTAAACTGAATAAAACTTATTAGCATGCCAAATAAATTAGTGTAAATTATTTATCAACCCTTAATTTACAATTACAAATCTTCCCTATTATTTCAACCCTTAATTTAGTTTTCGAAGCTCCTGAACCCAATTTTCAAGCTTTGAATTACACTGGGCAGTGTAAGACAAGAGAACTTATCCTTTTTTTCAGGAATAAAACAGTAACAACACTTTTCGTAATATAAAACTCCGAGAATTCTTCATTACCAGTAAATGCGTTGCTAAAATTGAAGATATGATTACTAAATAGTGACTCACTTCGCCACACTTTCCTTACCGGATGGTTTGATACAGCCATTCAGCCTGCACTCTTTCATGGCAGAACGTAAGAAGCATAATACGCCAGTTTCTCCACATGCTTTTGTAAACCTCTCCTGCCAACATACGACCAATTCACAACCAAAGAAATAATTATTCTACTGAACATTAGGGAATCGACTTCTAAATTTTTCCTTTATCTATACACCTTTAACGACGATGGTTTGAAGCCATTTTCTGCCGAGCGCCGCATCGATTTGCCCTGAGGTTTAGCCCAATTAACTGCTAAAAGCAGTTCGAGTAAACCACTTCAGTTTTGTTACAGTAACTGCTTAAATACTCAGTTATTCACACCCTAATCCAGATTCATATCCACTTATTTATAATCCCAGAATCGGTTTCAGCAAACTTTTACCGAAGCTCCGAAACAATCAAAGTACACCTTTGCACAAGTCTTCCACTATCATCCTCGTTTCTATCCTTTTTTCTCTTCACTATATCCTACAGACTTTCACGCATTGAAATTCTCCATTACAAATTGCAATCTCTTTTGAAAGGCTAGTGGAACGCACACACCACTAAGTCAGAATAGCTACGGTGTTGCATGCGAGTTTTCGCTATCAAATGGATTTTCCAGATATTTCCGTACCAAATATCCCCTTCAGCTCACTGGCTGATCCACATGGCTGAAGTGCTATCCGCATTATACGCGATCATGGCGAAAAAACTTCAGCATTCATACACTCGTAATGCCGAATGGTG